TTTCATGGGCGGTGGTAGTCGCTTTCAATCAGGTGACACGTCTGCTGGTTTGCCCCCTATTCCATAAAAAAAAAACCTGATACCTACCTAATAATAATAAATAGTACCTAATAATAATAAAAGTGTTACATTATAAATAGTATATAATAAATAATATATTATATTAATTGTTATTATTATCCTATTATCATTACATATGTATTTAGAAATTAATATTAAAGTATGTTATTTAGAAATGTATATCCCCAGTTGACGGCCATTAGCTTGTCCTCTAATACGTAGGTGGGATTAAAGTTACAGTTGGCAAGATGTAGGCGTTTACGGCTCTGTCTACTCCTTGGGAATAAAATACTATACTCATGTCTTGTCCGTGTGGTGACGGATTAAGAATACGGAATTACTCCCGTGGGTGTCTCAAAAACCGACTAAGGGAGCAAACTACGCAGGACAACAGGACTGCAAAGAGAAGGAAAACTTGAAACAAATCCTATAACACCCTGTTTGGCAAGCGTGGTATAGTAATCCAAAACGTCCTTTCCAAGGAGAGGCCTATGTTCAATAATGGACTGTTAAAGGCTGTTGATGATGATGATGAACTTTGAAAGGTAAAAAAAATGTGTTTCTCCTAGTAGCCTTATTATTTAGACCTAATAGCCTTATATTTTAGAGGCTTTACGCTTTAGAGTATGGAACTATTCGTTCCATCAACCTACATTCATTCCCATCGGTGGCAGATCCAAGCCTTTTGTTATTTTGACCCGCGGTGTTACCCGCGTTTGTTGTTATAACCGCAGGCAACGCCGCGGGGCGAAGCTAGTCTAAAAAAAGTAGCCTAAGTTACTCCTTATGTCATCAGCTATCTGCCAGTGAATGTCCCGTCGAAATCCCCGATCCCCCGAGAGATTACCCGACAGACAGACAGATAGACAGACAGACAGACAAAAATTGTAAAAAAATGTTATTTTGGCATATGTACCGTGTAAACATACATATGCATTTAGTAAAAAGCGGTTATTTTAATATTACAAACAGACACTCCAATTTTATTTATTTGTATAGATACGTAATAAACCTATACGTACGTAATTTAAACCTACGATTTTTTCCATATTAAATTTACCTTTCAACTTGTCCCATACATTGACCCTTTTCCATCTGAATGAGTAACTAATAGTGTCCTTATACGCACATGTTCCAATATACTACCCCATAGAAAATAATACTATAGGTGAATCGTATAACTTGACAAAGGTTTGCTACCTGAAATTTTTAACGTACACCTACCCACTGTGTCCATCTTTACACGTACGTATTTTAATAAAATTCAACCGAAGCATTCAAGTGATGTTCGATTATCGATGGTATATCTATCAATAAATTGTTCTTATAATAATTCTAGATATTAATAGAGCTATCTATATATAGGTACAATAGTTTAGGTTAAAATCCAGCTGAAAATGAATAGGAAGAGTTAATTTTTAAATACTGTATAAATTGTAATTGTTTTATATAAAAATGTTGTTTTAATAAGGTTTGTGTAACGGACTGCTATTCCAAAGGTCGCGGTGTCGATTCCCGCTCAAGTCAAACATTTGTGTGCATGAACATTTCATGTTTTGATTTGCTATGGGCGTTTCTGTGTATAATGAGTATGTATTTACAATAAAAAAGTGTATGTGTAAAAGTTTATATCAGTTGTCTAGTAGTAGTTGTCTAGTAGTATCTACTAGCTGACCCGGCTAACGTTGTTTTGCCATATACATTATTTCTAGGAAATATTAAAAAAAAAAACTTAGGGGTGGGTCACCCTTGTTATTTAGGGGTATGAAAAATAGATGTTGACCGATTCTCAGACCTACCCGATGTGCACACAAAATTTCATAAAAATCGGTCAAGCCGTTTCGGAGGAGTATGGTAACTAACATTGTGACACGAGAATTTTATAAATAAGATTACTGAATTTGGAAACTGAGTAAAAAAAATTGGCAAGCTTACTACTACTTATTTATTTATTTTACAAATAAATGGAAAGTTTATTACATAAAGTAGAAGTGAGTATTTCATTTAAAACTTAAAAATTATAATATGACTTCATTTTAATTAGCGAAATTTGCTTTTGCAATCTCGATAATTACATCGGCCGGCCACACTGATTTCATTAACAACAGAACTTAGCTTTTACCAGTACATGACATTATAACTTTCGCCATTATCAACAATAGCACAAGTTAAGGCTAACATACAACGTAGTTTTTTAAATTTAAGAAAATAATAAAACAATTCCCTACAATAAAAATACAGAATATAGTACAACAAAGCATTACTTAGCTTGAAAATGAGATCCAGAGCTCAAAAGAAACCCAAGGCATTTTAAGCAGGGCCTGATTTATTAGTCTCAAGGCATAGTGTAGATGTTAACCTTGATAAAAGACCTGTGTTATTGCCACTAAAGGAGATAGTAGACATCATTTTTGCCACTTAACTATTTACCCAAAATCCCATTAGAATAGAAAGGACCTCCCTCCAACTTCGTTCTGAGTCAACCTCTCAGTAAATTTAATTACATGTTAACGAAATTTTGCAATTACTTTGTGAAGTACAAATATGGCGGTATATCAGTAACTGTCGAAGAAAATTTGCAAACTAAAGTAAAAAGTTTAAATTTTAATATATTTATGAAGTGTGACGGGCAAAATGACTTCACTCTACGTCTGCTCATATTACGTTGTAATAGTGAATTTAAGTATTTTAAAATAATCACCGCGGCCATCTTTGATTGATTTGAGAAAATTTTGATTTTTAAGAGTGTATATTTAAACACAATAAAAATCTGTGAAGAAACTTACATAAGTTACATGTATCTACAGGTACATTTTTACTAACATCGCATCAGTAGTTCTTATCAACTTATTATCCAGTCATTACTCCACATAAATAAGAATGAAATGTTATTCATTAGACAGTATGGTTTTTTAAACCAGAAAATTATTGAATACTAGCTGTACCCTGCCACGCTTTCTGACACATTGTCGTAGCATTGATAATAATGACAAACAAAGATATAGGTAAAAACAATCTTTGAAGAGATTTGTATATCGTGTCTAAATTTGAGATCAATCGGTGCATTTTTTTAAGTTTTTGAAGCGTACACAAACTAACTTAACATTTTTATATATAATAAATATTAATAAGTTTATAATGTGTGTATATTAAATACATTTAAATATTGGCTAATAAAATATCAATTTTGAAATATAATAATAATTGATGATGTGTTATGCACCTATCGCCTGTTTTCTTTGCATCACTCAAAGGTTAACTAGCAGAAAGTACCTAAGGCATTAAGTACATACATTACATTTAAACGCATACACAGCGTATTTCCACATTAGATGGTCAGTTATGGGCAAGTTGATTCTGCCAGATGGCTAAAAACTCTCTTAATTTTCGTTTCAATAACTCAAGATAAGTGGCTCTCCTAATTTCAAGAGGGAAGAGTCGACATATCCCAAAGTATAAGAGGGACAAAGAAGGAGAGAAGGAGAAGAAGATTACTTGCAGTCCAAATATTTCCGTCGATATTGCTACAAAAAATTTGGACATACTAGTAAGAAGTTTAATATTTCAAATTATGTTTACATCTACGTGTGGACTCTTTAACCTGCAGCCTTTAAGTTTAATATTAAATGTATTTTTTTCTAATTAAGCCATAACATAAAACCATATACCAAAAAAAAACTTTAAATAATTAAGCTAGCACACAGACAGAACAATTAAGATCAGGTTCTTAATTGTTATTTAAAAGTGATTTAAGTCTTTAGATAGTCCTTTACAGACAGATACACAACGAAATTGTCTAGAAGGGGAGGGACGTCTCTTTATTTATTAGTCGTAACAGATTCAGACTGACAGCATTATCTGTTCTACAAGACACAACCAGCCCCGTCTCAGAGGTCGTCTATTTGCAATTAATAATGAAAATTAGCTACTCGATGCAAAAATATAAAATTATAGTGATTCTTTCTAAACTTACGCGCTTATAAACATTAGATGTAAACATTGGAACTTTCTAGCAATAGTAAAAAAGTACAGAACCTCGTTCTATTATACTTCAGACCACTGATAATCTCGATCCGCGTAATTCGATCGAAATGTCATGTAAGTAAAAAGATATTGTACACCCGGCAAACGGAAACATGGTCAGATTTACATTAGGTTTTTTTTTAAAGACAACTCCCGCATTAGGAATATATCCTGTGTCGCGGGGGACTTTACAAACATACATGAAACGGACACCAAGAACACCCAGACTCAGAACAACAATTTGTGGATCACACAAAGTATCGTCCCATGTGGGGTTTGAACCCACAACACTCGACGTAGTAGGAAGCGGCGTGGCGACCGCTTAAACCACTACGCCATCCGTACAGTCAAATCCGTGCAGTTTACCTTGTGTGTGAATTATAAATCGATTTTTCATTCATACATTTGCAAATTATTATCGATTCAAAATTATTCTGTGATATTAATTCAGTTTATCTGGCAATAATCATCATCGTCATCACCAACAGCTTTTAATAGGCCAGATATGGACTATTATGCTTTTCTGAGGAGAGGCCTATGTCCAGAAGAGGTTTTGTCCCACTAAACCACGTTAGCCACACGGATTCGTATAGGGTTTGTGTCAAGTTTTCCTTCTCTTTGCAATGCCGTTATTCTGAGTAGTTTTTTTTCTCTTGTAATAGGTCATTAAAATTACAGGTTTTTAGTTTGTTGCGTTTACCTTGCAACTATAGTTGCGAGTAAGTCCCTTTACACATCTAAAACTGAAGTGTTTGTAATCAGTTATTTTTCAAATATATTTGGATGTTTAACTGGTTCTTGTAACGAAACGGTTGGTCTGATTTTCGAAGGACTTTTACGTGCAGATGCCTGGTATTAAAAAAAGTGTTTAGCTATCACAGTCATGGGAAAGAATTAAAAAGCTAGGGTGTACATACCGATTTCATCTTTGTATCGTCGGCATAAGGAAAACATTATGCGTGCTCTGGAACCGATGACCTGTGGGAAAATACTTCAGTTAATAAAATGTTGTATGCATGTGTTAGTATGTGTGGATAATAAGAGTGTGCATGTGTAGTTTCGATTTAATGTCCTCTGTACTGTTTTAACAATCTTTAAAAACACACATTAAAAACAATTTGGGAATAGACATTTTAAATTCCAAGGTCTTGTAGGTAATGAAGGAAAAATATAGTTATTTCCTTGGAAAGAAACGTGAGATTAGATTTTTCACCAGTAGTACCGAGTAGAGTCACAAAGGGTCGTATGCGGTTGTAACTGGATGTAGTAATATACGAACAGCTGTTTTTCGTAACTGATGATGTATCTATTGTTGTTTAGAGAAGCAAATGATCTAAAGAAGTAATTAAGTTGTTTTTTGTTATTGAAGTTAGTTTCAATTTCTTGTTATTTTCTTTTACATGTTATGTTAATTTTGCCTTATAAAATCTTTCCAAATATTTATGGAATTCAAACGCTGCGCCGCCCAGGCTACAAAAATACTACGTTAGCACTACGCCGTAGCAGTGTAGAGCGTCCAATCGAGCAGAAACAATAGGGCATGATAAAAATATATAGGACAGTAACAGCCAGCGGGCAAATAGGAAGGTTACGACACTCCGTACATTATCATAACACATCGCTTTTTGTTGGAATAACAAAAGTAATGGAGTTGACATGTTACATTTTTTTTATTAATTAGAAGTTATTTTAAGGAGAGAAAATAAAGAAAAATTATGATATTAAGAAAAGTGACGTTGCTATTGTTGTGATGGAATAATATTTTTTCGCGATGAAAGGAACCCCATTTTATGTGACGTCTGTATCTCTAACTTTCTGGTATTCCCTATACCAGACAGTTACAGAAACGATAAAATTTATCAGTCTTAGAAATGGAAGGAAATATTTGTTGAAAATAGATTGGTATTGGTGTCACTCCGGTTGAGTCACGCTTCATGAAAAAATTGAATAATATTGCAAAGTTGTGAATAAATTCCTTGAACTTCTTTTTTACTTGTGGGAACCCCACGGATCATAACCTCACCAGAGTCGAAAGGAAGTGGCATGTCGGACTCGAACCGACTAAAGCCATACGGTGTTTTCTTTCCGTGCCAAATGAGTCTATTACCGGAGATCCGGGATATTCTAAAAAGAAAACTGCCTCGTGGAAGACCCTAGCCAGATGTCATCATCATCATCTCAGGCAAAAGACCACAGCTTCCCCGAAGGTTCACCGCAACAACCGGACCTGTGCTGCCCGCATCCGCGACCTTCACCAGGTCGACAGACAACGTTGTGGAGGGCCTGCCTACTCTCCGTCTTCCGAAATATCTAGGACTAAGCAAAATTTGGAAATGTGTATTTGATCTGTGTCTAATAATTTGTAATTTGATTTGATTGTATTGATTTGAGGTAATTTGATTTGAGTTCAATTGGAAATTTAATTTTTATGTAAACACGATATTAATTGAAAGAATGTAGTACAAGAAATAACTTGTTCTTTCATTAACTTAAATAAATTTACTTTTGTAAATTTCAAAATTATGTTCTAAAAAGAGATTCCGTAATATTAAAAATCATTCCATCATGGCTACATTTATCAGCAATTCGTTTAAATTATTTAATCATAACTTTGTTTTAAGCAGAAATAGCCTTGCAAACAATATAATAAAAACTGATTTTCTTTTTTTTTTATCTAAAATTTATGTGTGAAAAATCTTTATTCTTTACCACATCTGTGACTGACAACTTCTAAACGAATTGCTAGACCCATAGCCTGGCGAATCAGATATCTATAATATTAATACGTCAGAAAAAATCTCTGAAAAATGTGTAATATAGGTAACTAGCTTTTGCCCGCGACTCCACCCACGTGTGTGTTGGTTATCGTAGTAAGTGTTAATTATGTCCTTCCTTAAGAATCAAACAATCTCCATACCAAATATTATCTAAATCAGTTCAGCGGTTTTGGATTCCCCACCTTCTTTAAGGATGATTTCTGGGACAAAAATTACTCTATGCTCTTTCCCTGGACTCAAACTATCACATCACACATCACATCAACAGCCTTTAATAATCCACTGCTGGACATAGGCCTTTCCTTAGAAAGGAAGTTTTAGCCTACTATACCACGCTAGCCAGTCGGGTTGGTATAGTGTTTGTGTCAAGTTTTCCTTCTCTGTTCTGAGTAGTTTTCTCCCTTAGTTGGCTCTTTCGACATCCACGGGATGAATAGGGGTGGTGACAGTCTGTATTCTAAATCCGTCATCACACGGACTCAAACTATCGTTATACTAAACTTTCATCTAAAGCGGTTCAGCGGTTCAAGCGTGAAGAGGTAACAGACTGGCAGACAGACATAGTTTCGCAATTATAATATTATTAGTATGGATAACTTGACACATCTCACACACGACGGTCTGATCCCACACTAGGAACAGCCTATACTGTGGTAACTTTACAATCTGTCTTGACACAATATGGTATACAATGCCAGTATTGTACACCGGTCAATTAAAACAACCAAGAATAACTTGTGTGCAAGAATAACGTCGACGAGTAAGTAGGCCACTAGGCCAACCCTGCAGTCAACTTTAAAAAAGCGAAAAAGTTTGTTTTTCTTTACAATAGTAATGTTTATTGTTAAGAAATATAAAACCGAACATTAAAACAGATGTTTAAAGAATGTTTCCTAGATTTCTATTTTAACTTAAAATGCTCGAACATTTAGTAAGATATTTTGTTTTTGCCCGCAGCTGTATTCGCGTAAATATAAACTTTGCGAAACAATCCACGTGTCCCTTGAAAACAGTTTTTTCAATCAGAATGAAATCTATATCCTCTATTATATCTTGTCTACATTTTGTAATTATTTATTTCCTTTCTTATTCCTTTTTTTTAGGATAACTCCCGCATTAGGAATGCATCCTGTTGTTTTGCGGGAGATTTTACAAACATACATGGAACAAACACAAAGAACACAGACTCAGAACAACAATTTGTGGATCACACAAAGTGTCGCCCCTGTGTTATGATCGAACCCACAACACTCAGCATAGTAGTAAGCAGCGTGGTAACCGCTTAAACCACTACGCCAACCGTGCAGTCAATTGTATTTTATGGGAAAGGTCACCTTTTGGTGTATGAATACCGATGCCCTTGGACATTTTCAAATGAACTCATTGGACATTGGACCCTTGGACATTTTTTTTATGTTAGAGGGAGCAAACGAGCAGATGGGTCACCTGATGAAAAGTGACCATCGCCGCCCATGAACGTCTGCAACTCAATTTTTGTAACTCTACTCGGTACTGCTGGTAAAAATCTAATCTCACGTTTTTTTCCGAGGAAGTTACTGTACTTTGTTTTCTTTAGCTACTTGATTTAAATATCTATTTAAAAATTGTTTTTAATTCGTGTTTTTCAAGATTGCTAAGACAGTACCTAGGAGGTTCAATCAAAACTACACAGCTTAGTATCCCCCGTCCCAGAATTAAGGTGGAAGGAGGTTCAGACCTCTGGTAACCTCACACTCTTGACGAAGAGCAAGGAAAAAATTGCTCAGCATCGGTTTTCTGTGAGGTTTGAATAGTGATAACGTAACTAATAAACTCGCATTTACAATTTCAGTTACGATTCTTTAAAAAAATTTTTTTATCATTTATATCGATTTATAATCGAGTTTCACATTCTCTGAATAATTAAGCTTGTACTATGAAAACTAGATTGAATGATAGAATACTTGTATACTTTTTTTTGTAAATACATACATATTTTACATAAAAAACACATAAACTCCGAAATAAATATTTGCAGATTACACAAACATTTGGTCCGACCGCTGCCGGTCGCGTGCGCTACCACTGTCAATCAATTTTTCAGTAGCAGCCTATGTCCTATTCCAGACTATCTATCTCTCTACCCAATTGCATCCAATTTCGTTTAGCCGTTCTCGTGTTATTACGTTAGAAACATCTATCTAAACTTTCACGTTTATTTCATTAATATATTTACTTGAAATGGGGAAATATTTTAAAGATGAAAATAAAACTAGATATATGTTTTAAATTATTGTAGCGTAGCATGATATCATTTTAGCCTTCCTATAAATGGACTCCAACACTACAATTATTTTTCAATTTGAACCAGCAGTTCCTGAGATTAAAGCGTTCGACCAAAGAAATGGAGAAACAAACTCTTTAAAGCTTTATAATATTAGTTTAGATACAAAATACAGCTAACAATTCTTCGTGGATGCGTTTGATTTGCTTCTCCGATTATAAAATACATTTTAGCGTGTGAAGTATGATATACTTCACTCAGCACTATGCACCGTCTTGATCGGCGTGATACCACGGCTTTACACCCCCCCTAATTCAGGAGCACTGCGTTTCTGGAGTCGCTGGTGTACATGCGCGTTGAAAATCACTTACCAGCAGGCGACCAGTTTACTTGTTTACCCCCAAACGATAGAAAAACGTAGCGTGATGTTATACAACCTTTTTCAATGTATACTCTGCCCAAAACAAAATGAATTATTTGAATCTGTCTGTTAGCTCCACAGATTATTTATTTAAATAAAATTAAAAACAAAGAATCATAAAAATAAGCCTTTTTATGTTAGTATAGATTATTGTAATAAAAAGAATTGAAACATACGTTATCCATTAGGATTTTTTCATAATGAATTTATCACTTTTTAACAATTTCAGTTACAACACATATGTAGTTTGTACGCTTAGACACGCAGGTAAATGGCAGATTTTTAGAGACGGAATAATAGCTAAAAATATGAAAAGTTTACGTTTAAAAATAGCATAGAAACTCCCTAAAATCAGCTGCAACACATATTTTTCTTTTCTTATTACGAAGTTCCAAAACTAAGAATATGAATAAAAAATAAGCTCAAAAGTTTAATTATGTCAATTTTTTTCATTTTGTTCTTAAAACAAAAGATTTCTAACATTAAATTCTTA